GGGAAGTCAAAAAGCAGAAGGTAGAAGTTGCATCTTGGGCTAAAGGGGAAAAAAGTCATAGAAGTCTGGAGGAAGTACATGTTGTATTTGAGGAGAGATAGGCCTTGGTTTAGTGAGACTAGAGGATACAGTATTGACCAAGGGGGTAATGATGACAGGAAGAACAAATGATAAAGTACTTGGGGAATGGAGGCAGTAGATTGTGGAGGGTCTTAAATGCCATTCTAAAGAATTGGACCTTCTTCAAAGGGCAGTGCAGCCCATCAAGGGATTTTTAGTAAAGAACAACAGATATGGAATGATTACCCTTGGAAATAAAAACGTGGTCAAGGAGACATCTCCTCCTTTTCCTCCTGCCCCAACATATCCCTCCCCCAAAATTTCTCCTTCCTTTCCTCACGCACACCAAGAAAACTCTTTCAGCAATATAGGAGGGGAGATGCGAAGGGTATGCCTGCCATGGGAATAAGAACGTGGTGGAAACAAAATGTATATGGGATTCAAACCACCCGAAGTTGGTAACCGGATGTGAGGGGAACAGAAGGAAGGTATTAGGGTTGCTGGGTTTTCTGGCATGGAAGATGCACAATAAGTGTTTATGAACCTGACTAGGATAGAGACCCAGGAGGAAAGGCAGATTTGGAAAGAAGAGAATGACTCTGGTTTGGACACATTTAATTATTGATCAAGTTGGGATATTCATGTGTAGAACTCAAAGCTAGGTCTCAGGTGATCACTGAAGCCGTGGGAGAAAATGAGATCCCCCGAGGAGAGGCAGAGGAGGGTGGGCACAGGGAAGAAAGGACCGTGCCAGGTCCCTGCTTACCTGTTCAGCCTCACTTTCACCCTGCGCTCCCCTCCAAGCTTCACTACTAATCAATCCCTTCCTCTTGGTCTCTCTTGCCTCCCAGCCTGCACAGGAGTGAGCTGGATGGGGCAGTGCCCATCGACGTGGCAGTGTGTCCCCAGAGCCTAGCGGGGTACCTACAGTCAAGCTTCCTGAATAAGTGGGACAGTGAGATAAGGAGGCTGAGAATGCAAACTTCCAGAGTCTTTATATTTAAAGTAGAGAGTGCAGACAATAAGATGGAGTAAAGAAGACTAAGAAAGTGGTCCTTGAGATAGAAGAAGAACCAGAAAAAAAAGCAGGCACACCGTGGAAGAGGAATGGAAAATGCCAGTGGATTTGGAGAGAGCCAAGAGGCAACAGCCCGGAGAAAATCCCCCCTCCTGGGCAAAGTCAGAGGCATTTTGATTTTAGTAATCTCTTTAACATTATATTTTCCAAATCATCTCATTCAACTCAGAAAATATAATAGTTATTCTGTGTATAAATAAAAATACTGTAGCCAAAAAAGTTTCTTCCAAGTACCACCTTAAAGTTATTTCATATTCTATTTAAAGTAACCATTAAAGTGCATCATTAACTACCCAATTGCAGCTTTTTTTTTTTTTTAAGAGAAAGAGAAAGTGTGGGGTGGGGAGAGGCAGAGGGAGAGGGAGAAAGAGAATCTTAAGCAGGCTCCACTGAGATCATGACCTGAGCCAAAATCAAGAGCCAGATGTTTAAACAACTGAGCCATTGAGGCCCCCCCCCCCAATTGCAGCTTTTAAATAAATAGCAAAACACTTTCCTCTGGATTTCAGAAAAAAGTAACTAAGAACAAAGAGTTTGGCCTCAATAGTTGCTTCACTTTTCCATTTTCATATTTTTCCCCAAACTCCTCAAAAGTGTTTAGGCTTTTTTTTCAGTTAGGCAAGATCTGACCCGGTAGAGTCAAAGAGGGTTTCATAAATTTCTTTCTTTCTACAGATGGAAAAGGTATTTAAGAAACTTCCAGGATTCAAAGAAATCCACGTGCTAGGATTTAGGTAAGTAAGAGAATCGGACTCTTCTCAATTTTTAAATTACTTTCTCCCTGTCCTTTTTTAAAAGCAGTGTCATGAGGATTACAAGGTTCTTCCCCCCTGCCCCCCAGTTGTTTAGCCCTGCCAGATCCTGAAAACTGAATACATTTCAGATAAAGGAATTGTCTAATTAGAACATGACTCTAGGTGATTTTTTTTAAGGGATAACACAGGAGCTGTATTCCTTCCTCCCTCTGGAGTCAGAAACACTGCTCTCTGCAGAGAGCTAATCTGCTGTCCTTGGCAATGTTATTAATGAACCTCTTAGGAGAACACCTCAGTAGAGACAGGTCAAAAGAAGCAATTAGTTACCTTGGTGTCTGATTGCCTGGTTCCCTGTTGAATGTTAAATATCATCATCATTGAAATGAATCAGGCTGGCCCTAGGGAATCAGGTGAAACTAATAAAAAGTAGTACCTATGGGGATAAGGAAGTTGAAGGAACGGGGTAGAAGGGGACAGAGACAGAAACAATACTTCCCAAAATGTACATTTTATTATCATTTTGACATCTGAGCTATAGTAATGCATTACCACACAACAATTATTAAATTACAATTTTAAATAAAGGAAATGAAATTAAAGAATAGTGCCATGCTAAAGCAGGGTTGAGTTATGTTCCCCTGGCTTCCCCACAAGCAGGCCTATATCCCTTATCATCTCAACACTCTATAATCTAGGTGGGTTCATGATTTTTGGCAAGCAGTTTTGCATCCTCTTTCTATGTTCTCATTCAAAACATCTACAGGCAGGGTCATAATATATTTTTTAAAATGTGCCACAGGGTATATGTCAGCCCCGGTGTGTCAGAATGAGACTCCCTGCCCCAAGGGGGTTTGTAAAGTGGGTAGAGAAGGCCTCCCCCGAAGTACTTCCTGGCCCCTCCACCGCCTCTTGTCTTAAAGCCAGAAGGTGCCCAGAGCAAGTTCCCACCCTCACAAAGAATAGCTTCTGGGCGATCTCCACCGGTTCTTTCCTTTCAAAGCTATCAGGCCCCTCTGATTTGTATGACTCCAGAGGAAGAAAGTATTGAAAAGTGAAAGTTATAAAAGATGAAACCTTTAATATGTACCACAGCAGACTCATTTTTCTTTATTTCAAGGTGGGGCTCCACAATATTCCATGTGAAATCAGATGGATTAGAGAGAAATAAAAGGTGATAGTAGAATATTCTGCATAGATGGCAAGGTTTTCTGGACAAGCCACTGCAGCTAAAGAGCAGATGTTTCATTTAAAGCTGAAGGAAATGATACGAACAGTCCTCCTGGTGAATGTTCAAATTGCTCATTAAGCCCTCCCTTCAAATAAATGAAAAACTAATAAAAAAAATCTATTTCAGGAGAAAACAAAAATGTTAGGATGATGCAATTCACAAGGTAAAAAAGGTATATCCACTGAAGCTGCATTTTCCCCATGTGTTTATCTCTGTAAGACTTCATTCTTATTCCTGCCAGAAATGCTTATAAAGTAAATTTGACCATATGTTCCCAATGATTTCCATTATGGAATGAATATTTAGTCTCCCAGAAAACATTTTGACCCTGACTATTATAAACAATATGCTTACGAGTATGGCAAACTTTTAATCATAACTAACAATGCTCAGAATATAGTAAACTTAGTAAGAAGGAAATTGCTTTCTCATGGAGCCAGATCCCCTAAAACCCTATGAGTCTTCTGATACTGTCTTTATGTCAGCTCATTTGTATAAAACCTGATCTACAATTTAATAAGTATGTTTTTTATTAGTGACCTCATTTGATTCTCCCAACACAACTGGGAAGTTGTGAGGACATCTATTGTTAACACAATGATAAGGACGAACAGAAAAAGATCCACTTTAAATACTGCTTTATCCCTTACAGCGAATATGGGAAACTATTAACAATCATTTAATCTGGTTGGAGGGTATACTCTTTCAAAGACTAGTTCATAAATGTCCATAGCAGCTTTATTTGGAAGAGCTGAGGACTGGAAACAATCCAAATGTCCATCAACAGGGCAATAGATAACACAAATTGTGGACTATTGTTACCGTAGAGGACTACTCAGCAGAGGAAGGAACTATTAGAATACACAGCAATATGGTTTCATCTCAGAATAACTATGTTGAGTGAAGTAAGACAGAGGAGAGGGAGTATATTATTATTCCATTTATATGTAACTCTAGAACACACAAACTAATCTGTAATGACAGAAAACAGATCAGTAGTTGCTTGGGGAGGGTGAGACAGAAAGGATAGGAGGGAAGGGTTTCAAAGGGGCATGAGTAAACCTTTGGGAGGAATTAATTTGTTTGTGGTAATGGTTGCACAGGTGTATAGTATCAAACTGAGATCAAATTGTACACCTTCAACATGTGCAGTTTGTTTCATGACAATTATATTTCAATGCAATATACATATATTTTTTTTAAATGAGCAGGACTAGGGTCTTGGCTCAGGGAGCCCTGCCTCTCTCCGAACTACAAGCCACTGCTGAAATAAGCAGGCGGCAGGCCCTAAATGAATGTCTAGTTGGTACAGAAGTCCCTCCCACAGAGCAGCCCCAATGATAAAGTCATAGATTCTCCCCTGCTTCCAGAGAAGGAAAGTAGTAGCAGTCTATTTCAGTCATATTTTATCAAGGGATAAAAGTTAAATGAATTCAGGGGCGCCTGGGTGGCTCAGTCAGTTAAGCATCTGCCTTCGGCTCAGGTCATGATCCCAGGGTCCTGGGATCAAGCCCCAGCATCGGGGTCCCTGCTCATCAGGGGAGTCTGCTTCTCCCTCTCCCTCTCCCTCTGCCTGCCACTCTGCCTACTTGTGCTTTCTATCTCTCTGTCAAATAAATAAATAAAATCTTAAAAAAAGAAAAGTTAAATGAATTCATACTCCAGGCAGAAAGAGCAGCAACACATTTCCATCACACGTGTAGAATGTCTTTGTCAACAAATATCATCTGAAATGTAAGATGAGAAAGCTGAATACAGCTTTTAAACTAAATTCATATATATGCCCAGAGAAGTCCAAAATCTATTTGTCAGTTTGATGACCAAATGGCCTCTTTTGAGGCATGGGCAGGTAGTGGCATAGAAAACGGGCCCAGGCTTGAAGTCAAGCAGGACAGAGTTCAAACCCTGGCTCTGCCACCTTCCAACTAACAACTTCTCCTTTGTGTATGTGTTCCTTTTTCTGTAAAATGGGGATTGTGTTGTCGAAAAGACTAAATGAGGATGCATATAAACTGCCTGGCACGGACCACCCACTCAGTAAACAGGTGTTTATTTTTCTTGCAACCTATTCCATGATGAATTGTACCATCCCCTCAAGGCTTACTGATTAAAGCAATTTGAAAAATAATCAGTGAACCAAACGCCAGTTCCAGTGTCCAGTCTCAGATAAATTACTTCCAGGATTAAATTAATCATTTAATGCTACTCAGAGGGTGAGAAATTCATTTATAAAATACTTTCTTTTTTTTTAATTTTTTATTGTTATGTTAATCACCATATATTACATAATTTGTTTTGGTGTACTGTTCCATGATTCATTGTTTGTTCATAACACCCAGTGCTCCATGCAGAATGTGCCCTCCTCAATACCCATCACCAGGCTAACCCATCCCCCCACCCTCCTCCCCTCCAGAAACCTCAGTTTGTTTTTCAGAGTCACCTTACATTTTGGGTGGTGCTGGTGCCAGGAAGTTTTTAAAGAAAGTATTTGGTGCCAGGAAGTTTTTAAAGAAAGTATTGGACTCTATAAAATACTTTCTTTAAAAACTTCCTGGCACCAGCACCACCCAAAATGTAAAGTGTTTATGATGTATTTGCCATCTCTTTGGGAAGAATATGAAGAAATCAAAGAGTTTACAAAGAGAACCAGAAGTACATGTTGAACACTGCATCTGAGACAAATGAGGTACTATATGTTGGCTAATTGAATTTAAATTAAAAAAAATAAAAATAAAAGTATATATAATCTTTGAACAAAGATTGAATCCTAATCAGAAACATCATATAATTCTGTTTACTTCCTGAGATTCATATGGCTCTCAAAATTCCCATCCAAATTCTGATGGCAGTTTATGTATTTCCTTCAAAGTTCTGGGCAAACATGGGAGACAATGGAAAGAAATCTCTCTCTCTCTCTCTCTCTCTGTGTGTGTGTGTGTGTGTGTGTGTGTGTGTGTGTGTGTGTGTGTCTGGTATATGAAATGATTCAGTAAATGTCTTAATAAATCTCATAAAAATTCTTTCTCCCTTGCATGTTCCCATTGCATATGGTGAAATGAAGACCAAAGAAAGGAAGAGATGGGTAATTTGGACTTTTCTAATGTTTTGAAATATAGTACCCTTTCCCCCACAAATTTATATGCTGATCTTTTACAAGTAATTTTTACATACAAAGTCTGGGATAAGCCAATGACTTTTTATTGGTGTCTTATTTAAACGAGAGTAATTGATCAGTTACTCGGTAGTAGAAAAAACTCAAGTCAAAATCACTACGTGAGATATGTAAACAATGATTTGATCAGTGAAAGTGTATTCTGTAAAACTCAAAATCTAATTAGAAAAACATAGAAACACATTTCTGTGGGGCAAGCATGTTTTAACAACTTCTTAAATATCATTTGTGATGGGAAATTGTCTGTCTGAATGCACACTTGTACAAACAGCCAACCTAAGTCTGGCATAAAGCAGAGAAACTAATTTGCTCCTTGGTTCCAAGGTCAGTTTGAATTGGGACAGAGTCCACTATACCTTGGAGAGCTCAGTAATAAGAATCCAGCTTTGGCTTCTCTAATTGACTAGTGAGATAACGAACTGTAGACTCTGACTGATTGTGTGGCCCAAAGAACTGCCAAGAGTACACATTATCAGTTCCTGTGGCTTTAAAACACTCCTGCATCTCTCTGTGTGGATTTATGGCATAAACTAAAAGGTAAACCTGATCTGAGAGGAAAGAGTTATGGAGATTCCTATTTCATTTTTATATGCAAAAAGGCATCAAGTCAATAAATACAATAATAAATATGGTTAATTATATACTACTTCCCTTTCTCTTTTCTCACACCTTTCTTCTAAGATATCTTAAAAGCAGCTTGAGGGAAAAAAATTATGTTTGATTTGGAATTTTGTTTTTTAATTAAAAAATATTTCTTGAAAGAAGTAGAAGAGAAATAATAACCTTAAGAATTGAAGCTTTGGGATGCCTGGGTGGCTCAGTCGGTTAAGCATCTGCCTTCGGCTCAGGTCATGATCCCAGGGTCCTGGGATCGAGCCCCATATTGGGATCCCTGCTCAGTGGGGAGCCTGCTTCTCCCTCTCCCTCTGCCTGCCACTCCCTCTGCTTGTGCTCTCTCTCTCTCTATCAAATAAATAAATTAAATTAAAAAAAAAGAATTGAAGCTTTGACTTGGTTACGGTATGTACACACTACTGTCCCACTGCTGTATCCTATGCTGCTATTTCATAGGCCCTCCTACAGAAGGCTATTTGTAGAAAAAAGGACAATTCATCCTTCTTGCTGATTGGCATTTCATGACTTCACTTATAAGGCCACCAAAAACACTGGTGAATAATAGCAACTCTTGACAATTAATACTTTTTCATAAAGAATAAAGTAAAAATCTATGATCACTTGATTCAGTTAGTAGCCAGTCTTCAAGGTGGACTTAACCCCCATCCTGGCATTCTGTCTAACAACTAAAATATACGTCAGTTCTTCTTCCACATTTCAAATTTTTAATAAACCTTTAAACTAGTTTTGAAGTGGGATATTCTTTAAGAGCCCATCAGGAAAGAGGATGAAGCTGTCTGAAATATTTATAGCAACATAATTACACTCTTTATAAAGCATGTAACAATGGGTTTGGGTGGAATGTGTCCTCTGCTGTCTTACAGTTCAAGCTCCATAGAGACACGACTTATAGCCATCTTTAAGAGAGACAGTGCAGAAGTAAAAAGCCCTGCAAGTGACCTCCTGTCTTGTGATTCCAACAAAATTGAGAGTGAAGGAGTCCCTCATGGAATGATGGAGGAGGACAAGCAACCAGAAATCTATCTCACAGCTTTAGACCTCAAAAAACTGATCAGCAGACCACTGGAGGAAGACAAATCCTTGGATTTGGAAACAGTTCAGTTCGCTGATGGTCAGCTGGTGATTTCATAGTTCTGGTTTTATCCTCATTCCAACAGCAACATTAGTAGGTGCAAATGTCTCATGGTCACTGTCATTTCAACTTGGGCCTTACAGAGTCAATCATTTCGGTGACAGGAACATCATGAGTGGTATAATTTCTCTTTCCTCACTCCAACCTGTGTGTCATTTGATGAGCTATTGGTGCTACTTCACATCAAGAATAGGTCTAGGAGAAGCCCAGAGTTTCAGTTCAGTAGTTAGCCACAGTCATCCGGTGGAGTCCAGGTGTAAAGAAGCACCCATGGACAGTTCTGTTCCATTGGCACAACCCAGACAGATTCCCTCACCTAGTAAATTGGTTGAGTCCCAGAAGGAAACAGATGGCCATTCAAATTGGGGTAGCATGAGGAGAGTTTGATAAAGGCACGGTTTATAAAGTTTTTCCTAATAACACAAAAGAACAGGACAGTTCCCTGGTGCCTGAGCAGCAAGGCCCCACCCATTACTGCCTCTAGGCATGAAGGGTTTGCCTAATGATCTAAGCCTTCTGAAGACCAGAGGGCAAAAAGCCATTGATATAGTCCATATAAATCAACCTCCTAGGGCATAGAATAGCAGGGAGAGGAGAGGAGAGTGGATCTAAAAAATTCAACAAGATCATCAGGCACACTCAGGATTCTCAGAGGGTACCTGGAGGGACCCATGAGCCTAGAACTCCTCGTTATGCCCAGCACTCTTGGCATAAGAGATGAACACTAGAAATGCTATTTTAGTATGACACGGCATGAAATTGGCATTCTCTGTTAGTTCTATTTCTCTGGTTTAGATAGTCAAACTCAACACTGGAAAACATCAAATGATCCCTTGGGACAACATGCAGGGCAGAGGAATCTCCTAGGCAAGAAAAGGTCAGCTTCATACTCATCTTAGAGATCATCTGGTACTCTGGTTTGTCTCTGTTCAACCTTCTGGGATATTCTGAGAATCAGGCTTCAAGGTGGAATTAGGACTCTGCAAATGGTCCTTGGTTCCAGTGTTATTCTAGCTATTTCTTTTTGTTAGCTTCATTATATCTTAATCCCCACTGGCTTAGCCAATCAACTTGCCTGCCTGATCCAAATCTATACGATAAAACTAAGCACCCTAAAAATCCACTTTAATAACTTCTTATCACATAAACATATAAGATGTACCCCTTGCATCTGTCCTCCAGTATATCATTCACATCGATGACCATTAGTTTATGTGATGCTGATTTCTTAATGATTTGCTATTCCAGTCCTTAAAAACTGATTATTGCCACATTTTTCAACCCTGACTGTTTTAGTGCCCAACCACAAAAGAAAGAAAGAAAAAGAAAGAAATACTCAAATGTTGTGATTTTTCACCTGCAGAATTTTTGGGGTCAGTGCCAGGCTCTGATCCTGACTTCCACTCAGTGCTGCCTACACTCCTTGCTGATATCACAAAGGTAAATGAGTTTGTTGTTCTTTTGTTCTTCGAATAGGAACAAAGCCTGAAAAGCTTCCATCAAAAAAAAAAATCAGTTTAAAGACTGAACAGAGCAAAAATCTTCTTTGCAATGCTAATTATTTTTTTCTGTCTTACAGGCAGTACTTTGTTGCCCACTTCCTGTTTCTATATTAATAAAATATGATACAACTTGCATTTCAAATACCCTAAGATTCAAAGTTTTTTTCAATGTTGTTAGATCTTTGTTTCAATTAGTGTCAGGACTTGCTGTTTTGATAAAACAAACACATGTTGATGAACTGAAAAGAATACTTAAAGCAGGATATATAATTTAATATTAACTTTTGGAAATAGATATAAACATAAGCATACTTTATAAGCTTGTTCTTAAGTCTTAAGGTCTTACCTATATTTATTTATGAGGATTTCATAAGTATAATGTCTTCAAAATAAAATAATAAATTCTGGGACACCTGGGTGGCTCAGTCGGTTAAGCGGCTGCCTTCGGCCTGGGTCATGATTCCAGGGTCCTGGGATCGAGTCCCACATCGGGCTCCTTGCTCAGCAGGGAGCCTGCTTCTCCCTCTCTCTCTCCCTCTGCTTGTGCTCTCTCTGTCAAATAAATAAAATCTTTAAAAAAATAATAATAGTAAAATAAAATAAATTCTGTAATAATTTTTGTACTTCATTTAAAGCTATGTCCACTTAATTTATGCCAAGAGTTGTCATTGGGGTATTCATAAATTGAAGCACTGACTAAGCTCTATTCCTTCTTTAAATGAAGGAATTCATAAATTCCAACATGATAGGCAAGTCAGAGTGTTTCAGTTATTAGTTCACCCTACCCAGGCAGACTCAGCTAGCCAAGAAGCCAATTGATCATATTTTGCCACTGTATCAATGCATGTTTTCCTTTCATGACAAATTTCTGTATCAGAACCTATATCAGAACCCATAGTAGAAAAAAAAAAAAAAGAATCCATAGTAGATTCAAGTCAACTACAAAATGATTGCTTAAATTTAAATGAAAGAAAAAATACAGAGTGTAGCCCTTCTCACATACAGGGAAAGGTCACTTCTCAACATGTCTTTCTCAATTCATTCTTCAGGATGCTACTTTGAGTCCAGAACTTCCCCTTGGTCAATCCAGGCTTGAGACAGCGGGCAGAACAGGACACAGTATACCTGGTGAGTTTTTTTACCACAAAGTCTGTGTTAGCTGACTACATCCTCTATGAGGAATCCCTCTCTTACACTATCTCAAAGACTAGTGGTAAAGTCATTCTCAACTCAGGAGAAGGTTTCCTCACACCAGCATTTCCAAATGAAGAGCAATCCATTGAACCACCCTCTTCTGAAGAGGAGGACACCCTCAGTGTTCTTCCCTCAGCCCTGGGCCCTAGGCCCACAGAGAGCACTGACAACACTTTCCTGATGGATCTGATGAAAGAGGCTGAAACCAAAGCAGTACTAACTGCTGCCACACAGAACAGCCATCTCTACCAGGCTTTGAAACTGAGAGTCCATCAGAACAAGGTAAGTCATTAGGGACAAGGGACTATGGCAACACCGTATTGGGCCTTTATATTCAATATATGTATTCTGTTCGGCATATACAGGCTGACCATTCATATACCATCTGTTCTGCTACATAGGTTTCCTTAGTGCCAATTAGCTCATGTGTAATTGAAAAGTAAGGATGTCAGTAAACATTGAAATCCTCTAGGTTCACTTTTGAATTTCCAAAACGGTTCATTTTTGAAGAGTTCAACTTTATCACAGTTAAAAAGGAATTTTTAGCAATTTATGAAGACTTTAAGAAGAAAAATGAAAATTCTGCAGCAGTCTTTTTTTTAGTGCAAGAAGGAACTGATTTAGTGGCTTCAGGAATCCCTCTGCTTTCCACTTTATATAGCTCTCTGGTGAAACTCTACATAAAAATGTCTTTAAGGAAACATGAACCCCAGGGTATAAGGCTAATAAGGATGAACTGTGATTCTAAGTGCAAATGACACAGGAGATTTGTTATAGCTGATTTCTTTTAATTTTTTTAATTCTTTTTAAAATTTATTTTTTTGATTCAAGTATAATTAACATACAGTGTTATATTAGTTTCAAGTGTACAATATAGTGATTCAACAATTCTATACATTTCTCAGTGCTCCTCAAGATAAATGTACTCTTACTCCCCTTCACCTATATCACCCATCCCCCCCATGCACCTCCCATCTGGTAACCAAAAATTTTTCTCCTGTGTTTAAGAGCCTCTTTTTTTGTTTGTCTCTCTTTTACTTAGTTCATTTGCTCTTTCTTAAATTCCACATGAGAGCTAAATCATATGGTACTTATCTTTAATATCTTATTTCATTTAGCATTATACATTCTAGGTCTATCTATGTTACTGCAAATGGCAAGATTTCATTCTTTTTATGACTGAGTAATATTCCATTGTGTGCATGTATATACATATGTGTGTGTATATATACATATATATATATACACACACATATATATACACACCATATCTTCTTTATCCATTCATCTATCGACAGACACTTGAGTTGCTTCCATATCTTGGCTATTGTAAATAATGCTGCAATAAACATAGGGGTACATGTATCTTTTCAAATTAGTGTTTCCATTGTCTTTAGGTTAATGCCCAGCGGTGGAGTTATTGAATCATATGGTAATTCTATGTTTCATTTTTTGAGGAAACTAGTGTTTTCCACAGTGGCTGCACCAGTTTGCATACCCACCAACAATGCACAAGGGTTCGTTTTTCTCCACATCTTCTCCAACACTTGTTATTTCTCGTGTTTTTTATTTTAGCCGTTCTGACAGGAGTCAGGTGATATCTCACGGTGGTTTTAATTTGCATTTCCCTCATCATTAGTGACATTGAGCAACTTCTAATGTATCTGTTTGCAATCTGTATGTCTTCTTTGGAAAAATATCCATTCAGTTCCTCTGCCCACTTTTTAATTGGATTATTTGGTTATTTTGGTGTTGAGTTGTGTAAGTTCTTTATGTATGTTGGGTATTAACACCCTATCGGATATATAATTTGCAAATATCTTCTCCCATTCATCAGTTGCCTTTTTGTTTTGTTGATGCTTTCCTTCGTTGTGCAAAAGCTTTTAATTTTGGTATACTCCCAAAAGTTTAATTTTGCTTTTGTTTCCCTTGCCAAAGGAAACATTATCTAGAAAAATATTTCTATAACTGTTGTCAAAGAAATTACTATGTTATGGTTGATGTTTTTAATAGAATTGTTACTGGTTTAGGTAGGGCTCTCTTTACAAAATTCTACAGATTTTGAGTGGTCTACTTCAGTCCTACTTTTCGCATAAACCCTGTGTGCAATTAGTATGCAATTTTATGGAATACAAGTTTTTTTCTCAAATACATATTGGCACAAAAGCAGAACCACCTATAAAGATTATGTTTGGCTTGCATGATCACCAGTGAATAAATTTTAACTGCATGATACAGTTACCTACTTCTGCACTACAAACCATCCCCAAAGTTTGTGGCTTAAAACAACAATCATTTATTTTGCCCATAAGTCTGAAATTTGGGCAGGGATCAGTGAGGACAGCCTTTCTCTACCCCATGTTGTGTCACCTAGAGTATCTCAAGCTAAAAGGTGTTGAACATCTTTTTTCCAATTGGTTTACTCACATGGCTGGCAATTCAATACTCAACCACTGCTGTTGGCTGGTGGAGGTGGTGGGGGGCGGGGGCGCTGGGGGAGGCTCATTTCTTTTCTATATAGGTCTCTTTAACAGGGATACTTGGGCATCTTTAAAGCATGGCAGCATAGGTTTAAAGAGTCAGTATTGCAAGAGCCAGAAGGTGGAAGCTGTCAATCTCTTAACAGGTCAGAAACAGTGTCACTTCCTCACATTCTAATGACTAGACAGCCATATTGCTCATCTCAATTCAGGAAGAGAGAACTTAGATCTTATCTCTAGATAGAAGAAGTATCAAAAACTTTATGGCCATTTATAATTCACTACAATCCACATCAACCACTATTTTGACTTTCAAATTATTTAAAAGTTGGTTGTCGGGGTGCCTGGGTGGTCACTCGGTTAAGGGTCTGACTTGATTTTGGCTCAAGTCATGATCTCAGGTTCCTGGGATGGAGCCCCACATTGGGCTCCACACTCAGTGGGGAATCTGCTTGAGGATTTCTCTCCCTCTTTCTCTGCCCCTCTCTATGCACTCCTCTTTCTCTTTTTCTCACACTCACTAAAATAAATAAATCTTTTTAAAAAATTTTTTAAATAAAAAAATAAGTTGGCTGTATAAAGCAAAGCAAACCTTTATGGTAAAGTCACTGATAGTAAATGTTCATTGGATTCCTTTCTTTCTTTTTTTTTAATGTGGAATATCCAATTTTATTTTAAGCTTAAAATTAATCATATAGCAGTTAGTAATTTTAAATGACATTAATATTTTTAGCTACTGATATTAGTTAGGAAACCAAAAGGAAATGTTCAATTTAGGATCCCTAGAGCAGATATTATTTTTTCTTCTTTAAATTTTTGTATTGTTATGTTAATCACCATACATTACATCATTGGTTTTTGATGTAGTGTTCCATGATTCATTGTTTCTTCATAACACCCAGTGCTCCATGCAGAACGTGCCCTCTTTAATACCCATCACCAGGCTAACCCATCCCCCACCCCCCTCACCTCTAGAACCCTCAGTTTGTTTTTCAGAGTCCATCGTCTCTCGTGGTTCATCTCCCCCTTGACGTGGATGGAACTGGAGGGTGTTATGCTGAGTGAAATAAGCCAATCAGAGAAACACATGTATCATGTGACCTCACTGATATGAGGAATTCTTAATCTCAGGAAACAAACTGAGGGTTGCTGGAGTGGTGGGGGGGTGGGAGGGATGGGGTGGCTGGGTGATAGACATTGGGAAGGGTATGTGCTATGGTGAGCACTGTGAATTGTGCAAGACTGTTGAATCATAGATCTGTACCTCTGAAACAAATAATGCAATATATGTTAAGAAAAAAAAAAAGAAGAAGATAGCAGGAGGGGAAGAATGAAGGGGAGTAAATCGGAGGGGGAGATGAACCATGAGAGACAATGGACTCTGGATTCCTTTCTTTCATTATGATATCATAAAACTTGATTAAAGATCAGCATTTCAGGTAGATTAATAAAAATAACACTGTATCTATGATGAGTATGTTACTGTATTTTCAAAATTGCTTTACTGTTCTCATTATATTTATACATTCCTTCCACTCAAGGTTATACTTTAGAACACTAAAGCTGGAAGGAATCTTAGACATAATCTAGTTAAGATACTGTGCTTCATGGATAAGAAACTCAAGGCTGAATGTGAAGTGTCTTACTCAAGGTCACACCATAGCTGGTTGTAAAGCCAGGACCATCTGTCAATTTTCCTTCCACCCACTAAGTTATGTTTGGCTTAACTACCCCATCATTAAAAAAAAAAAATTCCCTCAAACTTCCTTTGCCTTCAAACCACAGCTTCTCTTCTCTCTATTTTACTACACTGTAGATTTTTTTTTTAAGTTTTACCAAGGTTGCACCTCTAACCATACATAACAGGGACACAATTTTCACAAAAATCACAGATGGCTTCCTAATTAATCAATTTAGCAGCCTCATTTCCATCTTTATTTTACTTGATCTTTCTGGCAAGTGCTCCTGTCAACCACTCTCTTCTTGAAACTCCTTCTTCATTTGGCTTCCACAAAATGACTTCTTGATTCTTCTCATATTTCCTGACTCTTCCTCTTCAGTCTCCTGCACTGGAGCTTATTATTAGTTTTTTTTTTATAATTTGTTTATTAAAATCCTACCTCATTCAGAAAAAGATTCATGATGATTTACAGACATGCAGGAAATATAATAAGATTTTATTTTATTTTATTTTTTTTAGGAAATATAATAAGATTTTAAAGAATTGAAAAAATAGAAGAAAAGATAAAGCAAAAAAAATCAGATGACTCAAAGTAATAAGACAATTTTGGAACTAGATAGAGGTAGTATTTGCACAACTTTGTGAATTTACTAATTCATGATTACGGAATCATTCACTTTGAAATGTTATGTTTCACCTCAATAATTTGTTTTTTAAATCAGATGACTTTCTAGAGAAAATTGTATACAAAATAAATATTATACAGTTCTTTT